CACATACACACGCACACGCACACGCACACACAAGGGTTCAACCATGGTCAGGTAGCTTGGGTGGGGTGAGGGAGCAGACTTCAGGGTGATACCATTTGAGCACCTGGATCCTAAATGCCTGAATGCAGTGAACACTGATGGGCTCAGTTATACAAGTCAAAACTTTTTGAGACATTGAACTTTCTGTTGCTTGTAGCTGTCCACAGTGAGGACTAACAGAACTGTCCTTACCCGGAAGTCACAGTCAGAAGTTCTTCAAATGACTCAAAGGCCTGAAGGACCCATCATGGCTCCTCGGTCAGATTACAGTCCTCAATGCTGATATAAAACACCCGACAGGAGCAGCCTAGGGAAGAAAGGGCTCACGGTTTGAGCGTGCAATCTGTCTTGACAGGGAAGGCATGGTAGTGAGATTGGCTGTAACTACCGGGACCAGAACCTGAGGCAGCTGTTCACACTGCATCCTTCCACAGTCAGGAAGAAGGGAGGTAAATACTGGTGCTCAGCTGGCTTCCTGCTTTGACCCTTTTTATTCATTCTGGGAACCCAGCCCAAGGGATTGGTCCCACCCATTTCCAGGTGGGTTTTCCTTCCTCAGTTAGCTCTCTAGAAACACTCACCCAAACAGTCTGGAAGTCTGTCTCCTCTGTGATTCTTAATCAAGATGAGGATAAAGTTTAACTATCAAAGTGACTATAGGAGGGGCCATCAACCTCCCAGTCCCCAGCTTCCATGTTGAGGGTGGGTTGGACTTAAAGACAGGTGTCAGTAAAGGACTTGGCACGGGGACCTGACACATGGTAAACACACCCAGAATGCAGGGCATTATTCACCATAGAGAAATGAGGTGAAAATTAAGGGCTTGGACGACCTTTCTGTGTTGGGCTTTTATGTTAACCAGTATTTTATGTGAGTTCCTGGGCCACTCTGTTTAATTGATTTAGAAGTCCTTCCAGGAATTGGCCACTGCCCAGAATCTAGGCATGCCATTTTGGGGCGATTAACAGAGATATCTGTGGTCTTTTTAAAGAAACAGAGAGCACGGCTCTTCAGAGATGAGCATCCTTTTGCTGCTTCTCTGGGAGAAATGGATTAGATTGAGGTTGTTTTGACTAGCAAGTGCAGTTTACAAGCCCAGGCAAGGTGACCAACTAGTCCAGTGCTGAAAGAGATCTGCACAAAGCTGCATTTGCACAGCCACCCGCTTCCTGGCATCCGCTCCCTTGCTGAACGTTGGAACTCCATCGCCCTCCTCCCCAAAGCCAGATCACACCCAAAGCTCCCAGGAGAATAGCCTGTTTCTACCAGATGCCAAAGGGTTTTCAAAGGTGTCCAAACAGGGGGTGGGGAGATGATTCAGCTGGTAAAGTGCTTGTTATGCAAATGTGGACCTGAATTTGGATCCTCAGCACCATGCATGTCAAAGCCAAATATGTCGGCATGCACCTGCAACCTCAGGCTAGAGGAATAGAGGCAAGTGGATCCTGAGGCTCACCCACCAGTCAACCTAGCAGACATGGCAAGCTCCAGGTTCAGTGAGAGACCCTGTCTCAAAAAAGAACATAGAGGAAGACACCCTGTCTTAACCTCTGACCTTTATGCATGTAGGCATGGGCCAGCACAGCTGCACGTACATGTGCATACATATACATATACACATACACATCACACACATTCAAATAAACAAATAAATAGGACAAAGAGCAGTAGACAAAGACAGCTGACTTTGATCTCTGGCCACACATGCTCACACAAACATGGACAAGAGATGGATTCTTCCCGTATTCGAGGCCTGAGATCTGGGCTCATTTGTTACAGTGGCCATCCTTACCCTGACTGGTCCACCCTCACTCAATGACTCAGTCCTCAGCCTCTCTGTCTAGCTGCTCATCTCCCTGAGTCTCGGGTCTTACACCCTGCTTTTGGGTTTCCACCCTCACCTCCTCCAGGGGTGATTCTACTACTCTGTTGCCCAAGTTAGTGGCCAATGCTCCCCCAGTGGTTCTTCAGGGCTCCTTGGGAAGTGACCTCTCATCTCCAAGGAACAAAGAAAGGGGTAGAGGGGAGCACACTGAGCCAGACTAGTGGTACAGACTTGCAGTCTTAGTATTTGGGAGGCTGAGGTAGGAAGATGGAGTGTTCAAGGCTAGGTTGGGCTGTAGAGTGAGGTTGAGGCTAACCTGGGCTACATAGCTAGACCCCCCCCACTTTATGAAACAAACAAAAAAACAAACAGTAAGAGAAGTGTACTAAAACTCCAGGCTTTAGTCTAGTGTAGCCTTTAACTACGTGCTGTGTGACTTGGGTAAAGCTCTCTTCCTCTCTGCTTACTTCGTCTATAAAATACACAAGGCCTGTTTTTAACTCTAACAGTAGCAGATTGTAGGACTATAGACGGCAAGGCTCATGAAGCCAGTTCCTTCAAGTAAGCCTGAGGCACTGGGGCAGTCCTGGTCATCTGGCTGGTCACCTCGGCAAAGGTGGCCACAGCAGAGGGGCCTGGAGGGTCGAGGCATGTGTGTCCTGGGGTCCCCACGAGACTCGCAGGGGTAGACCTGCGACTTGGGGTGCTTGTGTTTCCTACCTGAGAATCGCCTAGCCAGCTTCAATAGTAGTACCCTTCAGGGGTCTCCCTGGGACCAGGTCCCTGCCATCCCTCCCACGGTTATACGGCAGCCATGTTGGCAAGCTGGGTGAAGCTACCAGGAAACTGCCCTGCCCCGGTGACAGACACATACCCTTATCTAGTGTGTTTGTTTTCTGTCTCACCGGGCGTCAAAGTCATCCAGGGACTTTACCAAAAGATCTCCCAGTTCTGGGCACCCTTGCCCCCGGACAAGGGCTACACATGGAAGGACCACACTTGCGTATGACAGGAACAGTGACTTTCACTTGGATGCCCCTATTTCTAGCTGCCAGAGAGGGACCATCCCAGATTGAGACAGATAGCAGTCACCCAGTAAGAGCCACTGTAAAATTCTCACGTTCGGTGGCTAACAATGGTGCTGTGGCCTCCTTGGCTCTAGTTATCTGCCCTCCGTGGCAGACAGTTTCTGAGTGAGTAAGACCCGTAACCCACCTGCAGTTAATCCAATCTGAGTCTCCTTCAGGCTAGTTCCCTCCGTAGGGGCGTCCCTGGAAGGCACTTTAATTCTCTCTCCCAGTGTGTGTGGTCATAAGCGTCCATATTCTGGTAAATTCTATTAGAGTCTAGAATATTAAATTCACCTGTGAATCCTGTATTATACTGTCTAGAAGTGTCAGGGGTGACTCTGAGTACGGTGATGGTATACAAGGACACAATAAGCACCTAATTATTTTGTTGCTTTTTACAAAAAAAAAAAAAAAAAAAAAAAAAAAAACCACAAAACTACCTTTCCCCCCAAGGGTGAATATTTTTTACAGGGGTCTAACTTAGAGCCTGTGACAGTTATTTCAGGATTCAGAGCCTCCGAGGACCTGGCTAGCCAGATTTCATTACGCGACAGACTCTGATTCTCAAATAGAAGGAAGCCCTTGGTGACTCCTAGCCGAGTGAGGTGCGGCACGAAGGGCCCTCAACCTCTTTCTGGGCTGCCTGAGTCTGGAACGAAAAGGATCCCCAAGCTAACTCAGTAGAACAGGTTCTGGGATGTAGTTATTCCCTCCTCTTTTTGTACAAGAGGCCTCGGATCATAAACACATTGATTTCCTATCAGGCCGACATGCAGGGCCGTGGCAGGAACAAGCTGCTGGCCACGAAGGGGAGGCCCAGCCTGGCCCTGGGTTTTGCTGACTCACAGTGGAGGATGCTAATGCCGGGACCTGGCAAGCCTTGACGCTCACAGGCAGAAGCCAGGGCCTCTGTATCTGCCCAGCAGGTCTAATGGGCACTTGAAACTGTTTGGGCTTCACCAGGCAGAACCAACACAGTGAAAGCCTGACCCTGCCTTCGCTGTGGATCGAGCTGGCTTTGGGCACCTCCCTGTCCGTTCTTAGTGTCCTGTTCCTCGACCACAGAAGGGCCTCCAGCTGTTATCCTTGACCCACCATTACCTTGGGTTCAGGGGCATCAGGACCGCTGGAGACAACATCAGGACCTCCCAAACAGACCCCTTAGATGAGGGCAATTATCCAACTTGGCCATGCTGCCCCTGCTGTCGGAGTCACCACACTCGGGGGATCCTCGGGCAATGGTGGTGATAACTTCTTGGGACCACATGCCAAATGGAGGCTGAGACAGTGACCCAGCAGCCCACACCCTGACCAGGACAGCCTAAACACCTGACCCCAGTTAGCCCTGAAGCTCATGTCCTCAATCTCGTGTCCTTGTGTCAGTACCTGAGGAGGGATGTAGGGGTCCCTGAGCCCCGTTATTTGCTCCTCTTCCCGGTGTTACCACATTGAAGAAATCCCTCTGATTTCACCAGTGCTAGCTCTGATTGGCTTGCTAAGGATGGATGGCCCAGCCTAGCTTATGGCCCCCAGAGCCAGGTTTGTGCCCTGGAAACTCCAGTAGCTCCCTGGGACTCCAGCTCACCCCTGTGTGTAACATTGGCATCCTGGACTCTTGCTTCCAGGGACTCAACAGGCTTACACCATGCCCTGTGTTGAGCTCTGTGAAACGCCTGCCTGTGGCCTGTCCTTCCCCTGACCTCCTGCCTAAATCTTCAACTTCATCCTAGGTGACAAAGGGCTGTTGGGAACGCTACAGGGCAAGTGGCTTACCTAAGGTCACTGACCTTGTCTGTGCCGAACTTGAACTTGGGACTGGCTCCAGTGTAAAACCTTCTGGGACTGAGATACCTATTAAGTTCAGGCCTGTAGGCACCTGCCAACCTTGAGCCCAGCTAAATGCCCATGCGGGGCTTTGGGGGCCGGCTGTAGAGTGACCTGCTTCTGAGGAGGTATCTGCCACCTTTGATGCTGGGTGGTCCTTTCTGACACCTGGCTGTTAGTGGCAAAGCCCTGAGCAGCCACACTCCAAGATAGGTGAGGCACTACCTCCTTCCATTATACAGATGGACAAGTAAAAGCAGCCAGAGACGATGTCGCCCAGGGATCTCTACAGCAACCCTTCCAGTGCCAGGCTCAGCATCCTCCACCTCAGCTGACCGGTAGACCCTTGGTACTTTTGTCAAGTGAATGCAATCCTGGCCTTTTCACTTTTCGCTTCTTTTGGGTCTTCTGAAGCAGGTGGACCATTGACCTTCACAGCAGGGAAAGCCCATTGAGATCAAACAAAGGAAGAACTGGAGGGCTGGTGGCTCCTAGGGATGGGTAGCTTGCCTGTGATCACAGTGTGTGGAGGGGGATCAGTGGAGGGGGATCAGGCCTAGCAGACTCTGTGCCCAGGGTTTGGGATGACCTGACAGAGCTACACAGGGGCAAAGATGCTGGGAAGACACACCCAGATCAAGCAGCGGCTTTGGGCAGGTGGAGTGGGGTCCTGACCAATCAGAGGTGTGCTTAGAGAAGGAGGATGGGGTCTGGGGTCCAGCAAGCTTCAGATGGTTCATGAAGAGAGAGCCAGAGGAGGGGAGGGACAAGGAGAGAGAAGAGAGAAGAGAGGAGAGAGAGAGAGAGAGAGAGAGAGAGAGAGAGAGAGAGAGAGAGAGGGAATTTTTTTCCGGGGCTTCACCTTGGGGCTGACCCAGTTCACTCCTGTGGACTCACAGCAGCTGGCCCTTCTGTCACACAGCAGGCATTGGAAAGGGGGAGACAGACATGGTTCACAATCCCCTTCCCAAGAGGCACACTTTCAGCGGTGCATTCCTCAAGCTGGTGCGATCCCCCCTTCTTCTGCCTGCCGGCTGCCTTCTCTTCTCTCTTCCATCTCTCTTCTCCTCTCTGCCCCTCCCCTTCCTTTCCTTCCTCTCTCCCTCTAGTCTTCTGAGGTTCTGCTCACCCCCTCCCCTCTTGCTGCTTGTGTGTCTGATTTCAGGCTCCCTCCCTCTGTCCCCTCCCTTCATCAGGGGTTTCTCCAACCACCTCTCCCTGGCACCGTCCTGCTCATTATCCTTTTTCTCAGACCATCTTTGTCCCTTGTTATCTTTCTCACTCTGTCCTGCCTCCTTTCCGTCTGTCAGGACCCACATCCCTGTGCCCCATGTCCCCAGCTCTGGCTCTGAAGTAACACTCCTCCATGGCCAGCCAGCGGGTTGTGAAAACACCAGGGCCTCATAATCTGAAAGGCAGGATTGATGAGAAAATAAATTCCTGATTAGTGTTTTAATTTTGAGGATCTTTAGAGGGGACTGAGCAGCAAGGGAGGCTGCTGGAGAAAAACCTGCATTATTAAAGCTACAAATCCTTCCTTGCCGAGAGGCAGGAGGGGACAAGCAGGGCTCCCTGTGGAATGGGGGTGTTGAGGCATAGGAAGGGCAGGCAGGGGAATGGATGATTCCCACTGTCCCCAAAGAAGGCTCCTGGGAGGGACAGGCTCCCTTAGGCACTGAGAGCACTGGCTCCTGGGGAGGGGGGGGATCGGGGTGCAGGAGGATGGGAGAAGCTAGCGTAGTTCCATTCTCTCCACAGTGGCAGCGGAGTGCAAGCCTTTTCATCGGCCACGACAATGGGAGAAATGGAAGAGGTCAGTTGTTGAACTCCTGGGATCTGGTTCAGTCTTGGTTCTGTTTGGCACCCCAACTTCCCCATCTGCTGGGTGGAGAGGAGAGTCTTCTGCTCCAGAAACGTGCGAGGCTGAAGTGAGCTAGCACACCACACACACATGCTCCCATGGGTCAGCCATAGAAGGCATGTGTTAAGTACAGCTGTTACTCTTGCTGTGGGCACATAGCTCATCTCACACATACCAACTTCCTCCATACTCTCCAGGGCTGGGTTACAGCGTCCATTTGGCCTAGATTTTTACATGGACACTTGGGCAGGATCTGAACTCAGGTCCTCATACACAGCAAGTATCTTACACAGCAAGTGCTCTTATCCACTGGCCACCATCCAGCCTCAGTTTTAAGCATTTTAAGGCACCTCCACGTAGCTCCCACCCTCATAACAGCTTTGCCCTTTTTAATAGATGGCCTGAGGCCTAAGCCCCTGGCCAGAGATCACACTGCCCCAAAGGAGTAAGGGAAGACTGAGCCTTGCTCTGGTCTAGGTTCTCAGCAGGCCCCCCCACAGGGAGTGTACACACTACTTCCTCTACTCAAGGCCTTTCCGGGAAAGGGAGGCTGCTGGTGCTCAGCTGGAAGATGTGGGGCCAGCTCCAGAACCGACATGGAGGCCCCTTGGGGTGAAGGCTAGTGAACAGAGTCACCAGGCAGAGCGATTGGCCATTGCATCCAGAGTCTCGGATAGGCCTGGCCTCCTGAGGCCTGTCACTGGGCCACGGGGCTTACTTATTTGGTTCCTGTCCAAACCCTGAGAAGTGTTGTCCTGAGATCTATTTTCAGAAAGAGAGCTGGAGTTGGCCCCAACTCTGCAAGTTCACAGGTTCACGGCCCTCTCATTCCCTCATGGAGTATTTTTCCCCTTAGTTAATTTTAATTGTTTAAAACAATGTGTTTAAACCTGGCTTTTTGTCTAGTAGCTCCAGGGCAGGAGCCCAGGGAGAGGAACACAAGTCCTGGGATTGGTTGAGGGGCCTGCTTAGTTCAGCCTGACACTCCTGCTTCCCTTGGGAACTTGACCACAGCCTGGCTCTGTCCTAGGGGTCAGGGGACAGCTGGCTGTAGTAGTCTCCCAGCTAAAGCCCTGGTTGCCAGTGTAGACTGCTGGGTGAACTGCTGGGTGGATTAGAAGCCCATTGTTTGGGTCCTAAGGTGTGCTTGGCTGCTTTGGGCCACTAGACGGTGGGAAGTGACTTTTCCTTCTGTGCCTTGCTTCCTGCTCTGCAAAGTAGAGATAGAAATACACCCCCAACTGGTAGAAGTTCAAGGTCAGCCTGGGCTACATAATAAAATTCTGGCTCAAAATTCAATGTAAAATGCAGTAAAACATTGCTCTTGGGGAACTATTCTGAGTTTTTTCTCCAATACCAGCCTGAGGCCAGGCTTCGAATGGAATCTACTACTTATCTGCCAGGTATCCAGGCTGGCCTCCACAACCCAGGAGGATGCCTAGTCACACCTGCTGTTCCCACTGGCGGCATGTCCTGTTGTTTAGGGCCTTCTAGACATGACCGTGGTCATCCCTTGGTACCTCTCCAGCCTCAGTCTGCCTAAGTCTCATCAGTAACCCTTGGCCCTCACACCACCAAAGCCACCGCCACTCAGCAGTCGTCATGCCCTGATTGAATTATGCCCACAAGCTCTGGCAATCCTCCAGCTTCTCCCCACACCCACATCAGCACCATCACCCCATTTGTAGAAGAGGAAACTGAGGTTCGGTTCCTATAGTGAGGATTCCTTCCCTGGGAAAGCTGTAAACACCGTTTGCTGCCTCTGCCCAAGGTCCCAATGGCAAACCATAGCTCACCCGGGGGAAACCAATGAGTTTCCTGGACTTACAGAGCATGGATGAAGGGCTACTGATAGGAACAGGGTGACCCCAAAACAGCCAACTGAGCAGATGATGGCTCCCCCACCCCTAGCCACATGGATGGAGTCCCCCTCCCGGGTCATATATTCTAACCCTTTCTGAGGACCCCTGCCATGTGTAGTTAGAGCAGGATTGTATGCAAATGGTTGGATACTCAGGCAAGGGTCCAAGGACCTTTCCCACCCCTTATTCTGGGAGGAAATACCAACAGTCCATCAGTCCATGGCCCCAAAGGATGGAAGCTTGGAAGTAGGCATACCTGATCTTATTAAGACGGCCGAATTCTGGCTGTGAGAGCAGCACCTTACAGTAGTTCTCATGCATGAGTGAGTGGACTGAAGTTATTCACTGTGCGGAGAGTGTGCAGGGATTTGAACCCATGTGTGACTGCTAAGGGACATCATTCAGACAGCTGGGCAGTTGTGGTGATATTTTACTTGTGCTGAAATGTGGTGATATTTTATTTGTGCATTAATAAATAAAGCTCGCCTGGAGATGGGGGTGGGGGGCAAGGCCAGCCATTTTAAATAAACAAAGAAGCCAGGCAGCACACACCCTTAATCCCTTAGCAGGCAGGATCTCTGTGTGTTCAAGGCCACACTAGGGAACAGAGCTAAGCGTGGTGACATATGCCTTTAATCCCAGTACCAACCATAGAGACCTGGAGGTCTGTATAGACAGACAGTGACAGAGCTGTGTAAAAAGAGGAAGTGAGGTAGCTGGGCTAAGAGACATTGAGAGGGCAGAAAAGCAAGGCATATAAGCCTGGGTAGACAGGAAGTCGTGCTCCTTGGAAGCTGCGGAGTTGGTGAGGTGAGGTTAGCTGGTAGCTTTCAATATTTCCCTGATCTCTCTAAGGCTTTAACCCAAATTTCTGACTCTGTGTTTTTTATTTAATTAACCATTTAGAAATTTGGCTACAGGCAGTAGGTGACAGGGACTCAGTAAGCAGAGCAGAGAGAAGGAGGAGGAGGAAATGGCAGGTGGATGGAGCCTCCAGTGGAAGCCCAGATGGCAGAAAACCATATCTGCTATTCTATGTGGTGTCTGTGGCGAGAGGATCCTAGCCATTTCGGCAAGAGGCCCTGAGCCCGCAAGTTAATTATCTAGTTCAGTATCTAGATGTGGTGATTGAGAAGGAAAATTGACTTAGCAGTTCCTGGACTAGCTCTCTGTGTGTCCTGGGGCGGGGGGGCAGCTCCACCTCTCTGTGCCTTCGCCTATAACGTGGAAGAACCTTACAGGGCCAGACTGAGTATCAGATGGAGGTCTCTGCATGCAGCTGGAGTGACCTGATTTGAGCTCCTATGTGCCGCCTGGAGCCCAGCTCCTGTCCACACAGCCATTTCCTGGACTGAAGGAAGAAGGAGGTGAGACAGATTCCAGCATCACTTCCTGCTTCAGTGGGTGGCCTCAGGCGGAGCCAGCCCTTCTAGGAAAGAGCCACGGGAAAGTGGACAGGGGCTCAGAGTGCTTCTGCGGGGGGTGTGGTCCCCTGCCGGTGGAGGAAAACAGCTGGAAAGACAGGAAGTTGTTCCCGGGAAGAGCCCGCACCTCCGAGCTGGGAAGGAAGTCGAGGCAGGGAGCAGGAAGGCTTGGCTGTGGTTGTGCCTGCCATTGCTGCAGCCAGTGTCCTGGGATGACCGTGGCTGGGGACTGGACGCAGCCTCTCTGGCTCTCTGTGACCTCCTTGGGAACAGTTTATAGACTGCCAGGGACATCTCAGCTCTGAGCATGAGCCAGTACACATCCGCATTTCCCTGTGTTTGGGACTCCAGGGGGTAGTTTTACAATGCTGAAGGGATAGGCTCCGAAGCCTTCTTGGACTGACATCACACCTCTACCCTCAGAAGCCGGTGACCTCCCGCATCTTCTTAGACTTAGCTTGGCCTCAGTTTCTGTCTCTTTAAAATGGGTCCAGGCAGCATCCATTCCCTGGTGCTGCTAAGATGAGTAGAGAAATGAGGGAGGAGAGATGGCCCAAGGACATGGGACTTGTCAGGAGAAGCCCTGGGGTTGGCTGATCCCAGGTCTGAGACCACTCTCTCCTTCCTCCCTCCATCCTTACCTGACAAGTCCCAGGTGCTCTCGAAGAGGAAGGGGAGAGGTGATTCTAGAACTTTCCTGGTAGAGGATATTTGCACAGTCCCCTTTCCTACTTGGTAAATTCTTTGGTAATTTCATACATGAATCAATGCGCTTAGATCATCTCCATTCCTCACTCTTCACTCCAACTCCTCCAGGACTCCTCCTCCACTTCTCCCAACTTAATGTTCCTTCTTCCTCCTCCCCTCCCTTCCCCTCTTCTCTGCCCTCCTCCCGTCCATCCTTCCCTTTCTCCTCCTTTTTCTAAACCACAGAGTGCAATTAGTGCTGCCTGTATGCCCAAGGATGAAGGGCCATCTGCTGGAGCATGGACAACCTACCAGTGGCCAACACCACTCCCTCCTCCAGAAGCCATCAACCTACAATAGCTCTCAGCTAGAGGCGGGACTTCCGGAGCCCCTTCCTCATCCACGCTGGAGTGCCGACTGGCTTGATCTTGTGTGGGTCTTGTGCAGGTCACCACAGTTACTGTGCGTTCATGATGATGACTCCCCTGTCATGTCTGGAAGACAATACTTCACATCAGTCCTCCACAACCCTCTGGCTCTTGCAATCTTTCTGTCCACTCTTCCTCTGTGTTCCCTGGACCTTGGGACCTGGTGGGAAGGGTTCATTTTCTACTTTTCAAATGTGTTGCTTTTCCCACTTCTGAGGCTCATGTCAGCCTCTCTCTCTCTCTCTCTCTCTCTCTCTCTCTCTCTCTCTCTCTCTTTCTCCTCTCTCTCTCTCTCATACACACTCACACACCCACACTCACCCACCTACACAATCGCATATGCCTTGGAATGGTGTCTGACTTCTCCGCTGGTGAGTTCTCCAAGTCCAAATGGACTGATTTTAGACCTCCTGAAGTACTGGGAGCCCTTCATCTTTCCTTAGGACTCAACTGTGTCTTAGAGCCACTCAGTGTGGGATGAGGGTGAATAGCATTTGAGATTGACCTAGGCCTTCACAACCAGTGGCTCATTGGAGAGACTCTGGGGTAGGCAGAGACTAGATTAGACCAGACTAATCACTCCCAATTCACAACAAGCGGACGAGGTGGTGTGCACAGAGAGGTTAAGAAATCTACGTGAGGACCGGAGCATAAGCTGAGGCTGCCTGGCTTCCCAGTGTGTGGTCTCCACCATGCTGCTCTCCACCCACCTGTGAGAACTGAGAGAAGGAAAGGCTGAGACTCCAAACTGACAATCAACCCCAATTATTTCCCATAGGATTAGCAATTATTAACCAACCTCTAGGGAGTCAGCTAAATACAAGGCAATGAAACCAGCTCCCAGCAGTGGAACCCAGGTGTGCGCTCCAGCTAACGGGAAGCGTTATGGGACAAAGGGGATATTTGCTGGTGTCTCAAGCTATTTTCCTCATTTACTTTAATTAATTAGTTAATTGTGTGTGTGTGGGGGGGGTATATATATATGTGTTCACACATGCATGCAGGTGTACACGTCTGTGTGCATACACTTGAAGACTAGAGTGTTCAGGACACCTGATGTTTGGGATATCCGGTGTCCTCCACTGTTCTCCACCTTGTTCCCTTGAGACAGGATCTGTCGTTGTGATTTTTTTTAAAGCTGGGCCAGTCGCCATCAAGTCCCAATGATCCTTCTGTTGCCTCCACTGCCCGTTCCAGCCTTACACCAACTCTGTGTGTGTGTGTGTGTGTGTGTGTGTGTGTGTGTGTGTGAGAGAGAGAGAGAGGGGGGGGGGGGGAGAGAGAGAGACAGACAGACAGACAGAAAGACACAGAGAGAGGCATGGAGAGGCGGGGCTTTGTGTGGCACCTCATACAACCTCTCACAAGGTTCAAGTGCTCTGATCCCCACCGTGCAGGTTGTATAATGGAGGCCAAAGACATTTAGCCAAGAAGTGGAAGAGCTGGGAAAAGTAATCCTGTCAGGCTCCGGAGTCCACGTCTGGACCCCTGCCCTGGTGGCTGGGACACAGTCACACACTGCTACTTTGCTTACCACTTTGACACAGCACTCCCTAACACTGACCTTCCAGACTTTGTCCTAAGACCCAGGATGACCCAGCCAGGCCCCGCTTAGTCGCAGGTCCAATTCTTACGGGCCTCATTGCTCACCGGCTGAGGGTTGGGGGCCTGGCCGAGTACAGTCAGGAACCAGGAGAGTCTGGCCGTAGCTGTGCCTCTGTCTAGCTGTGCGGTGAGAATTCCCTCCCTGAGACGCAGTGAGTGCCAAGGATGTGCCGGGCCCTCCCATGTTTACACAAGCTTTTAGAATCCAAGGCATGTTCCCCAACAGTCCTTCTCCCTCGGCCTTCAGGGAGGGACACCGGCCGGCCGGCTACATCTCCAAAACAAGTTCTAGACGCCTTCCCTGACTCCAGCTTTGACCTGTGTGTCTGTCAGCTACTGCCAGCAGCAGTGGTTTGTTTTTTTTTTAAATTTTCCAGAACTGAGGACCGAACCCAGGGCCTTGTGCTTGCTAGGCAAGCGCTCTACCACTGAGCTAAATCCCCAACCCCAGCAGCAGTGTTTCAGAACAAGTCATCCCCCACACTAGCCACTCACAGCCGCACTGGCCTCACACTGCTCTTCCTTCAGGTGACTGACCATGGTGCCTCAGGTCCTGAGCGCACAGACAGGTCAGCAGGGTGCCTCTGTTGCAGGGTGCCTCTGTTGCAGGCTGCCTCTGTTGCAGGGTGCCTCTGTTGCAGGCTGCCTCTGTTGCAGGCTGCAGGTCACACTCAGACTCACCATAGGAAGGACAGCAGCTACTGCTCAGGGAAACCCTGTGTTCTCGTCACTGTCAGGGGCCAGCTCTATCCCCTTCCCATGCCCTGTCCTGTCTGCTCAAAGCCATGCCCATCTTCAGCCGTGCGAGGGCCTGACTTCTCTTCCTGTCCGTGGAAGGAAGGCGAGCACCAGTGAGTCACAGAGCAGCGAAACACAGAGGGAACACCCCAGCTTCCAGTGGCCCATGTGAGTCACTCACGACTCAGGTCTCCTTTGCTCTCCTGGCTTCAAATGCTGAGGGAAAAGCAATCTCGGGCAGTGAGGCATGGAGGCAAAGGTGGCATGGATGTGGCTGTGGGCAGTGTGAGGGCTGTGGGCAGTGTGAGGGCTGTGGGCAGTGTGAGGGCTGTGGGCAGTGGGAGGGCTGTGGGCAGTGGGAGGGCTGTGGGCAGTGGGAGGGCTGTGAGCAGTGGGAGGGCTGGGGGAGGGGCAGATGGCAAAGCTGGGTGTGCCTGGGCTGTGCCAGCATGGTCTGTGAGGTCTAAGTAACGCCCCTTCTCTGGTCTCAGTTTCTCCACCTGTGGCATGAGTGAGGGGCTTGGGAAGGCCTTTCTTCTAAGCAGAGCTGCTTTGGTCCAAAGATTGAATCCTCAGTTAGTGGAGTCTGTGTACATAGAATCCTGGGTCAGATCCCAGTGCTTCATAAATAGTGCTATCCATCTGTAGTAGAAGCATTTAGGAGGATCAGGAGTTCAAGGTCATCTTAGGCTATCTAGTGAATTCAAGGCTAGTCTGGGATACATTAAACTCTGTCTCAAAGAGATGAGTGGAAATTAAAAGTTCTCAGCCCTTTCCTTTCTGTCCCCTTCTCTGACCCTGAAGGTGACAGCTTGTACCATGACCCTCTCCTCTCTATTAATGTATGCTCTCTCTTAGCTCATGGGCTGCTGGCTGGAGATGGGCCACAGGCAAGGTAGGTGGGGTCCTCAGGACAGGTGTTACTATTCAGGAGCCCACTCTGCTCCCAGACACTTGGCTCCAGAGGCCTGTAGCTGAGGCCCTGGAGAAGGGAGGGGCCTTTCAAAAAGAAGGTCACCCAGTTCCCAGACAGAGGCCGGCCTCCTGCGCCACATTCAGCCCCATGTGGCCTCTTGTGCTCTCTGCCCAGGCTGCCCAAGTGTCTGCAGGGTGCTGGTGGAGTTCATCTCCGGACAGAGGAGCCTTCTTTTTGACAAAAGGTCGACACTAGATAAGTGTTTCTAGGCAGAGATATGAGGAAGGCGGACTCCAGCCACACACTGCCTCAATCCTCATTGGTTCCTCTTCCTGGTGCTCTTACCCTGTGGTGATATTTTGTGTACCCTAATAAACTTGTTTAAGGATCGGAGGACAGAGCCAGCCACTAGATTAGACATAGAGCCAGAAAGTGGTGGCATACACCTTTAATCCCAGAGCTTGAGATCTCATGCCTTTGCTTGGGAAGCACACACGCCTTTAATCCCAGGAAGTAATATGGCGGGGCAGAGAAAGGTAAATAAGGCATGAGGAAACAGGAACTCACTCTGGTTAGGCTGAGGATTTCGTAGAGGTAACAACTAGTGGCTGGCTGCTCTGCTTTTCTGATCTTTCCGCTTTCACCCTACTATCTGGCTCTAAGTTTTTTGTTAAAAAATCATCTAAAAGCTGGGCGGTGGTGGTGTACACCTTTAATCCCAGCACTCAGGAGGCAGAGGCAGGTGGATCTCCGTGAGTTCGAGGCCAGCCTGGTCTACAGAGTGAGTTCCAGGAAAGGCTCCAAAGCTACACAGAAAAACCCTGTCTCGAAAAACCGGGAAAAAAAAAAAAAGACCATCTACGATTCAAACAACACTACCCTTTGTCGGACATCCCTCCAGGTTGGTCCCATGTCCTCTGAGTTCAGAGAGCAGTGTTATATAACCTGATGCCTGCAACTATATTGTCTTTTCCAGCCCTGGACCTGCAGACAGGTGGCTAAACAATTGGAGACCCCCCCCTCCGAACTTGGAAAGACCAAGAGAAAGGATCAGTTGCAAGAAACTTCCAGAACCTTCAGAGAACTATAACATATAGGAAGAGATACCTGGAGGATGGAGGTAGAAACACTACACCATGTGATACCAAGAAAGACTTTTGCCTTCTGTTTGGCCTTGGGGGAAAGTCACTTGTGGACTCTACAAGTCTCTAACTCCCATAAGCAGCCCCAGCCTCTACCTTCAGGATCCCTGACAGCAGCCAGCCCTCCTAGTGGGAGTGTGGGAGCCCAAGGCCTGCAGGGAGCCCAGACAGCTGCTGACACCTGTCCTCAGGCTGGAGGTAGAACACCCCAAATGTCTCCCAAAGGACCAGGGAAGCTGTCTATCCCACTTCCCTGCCAAGATGGATGGCTTAATCACAGTCCCCTCTTCTCTAACTAGACAAGCACATTCCCACCCTCTTTCCCCCAGTGCCTCCATAAATGGCTCATTGTGACTTGGTTGGACAGTCAGCTCTCTCAGCAAAGCTTGGGGATGGGCAGAGAACCCTGAAGGGACCCACTGCTTCTGTCTCCCTGCAGCTGAGCCCCCAGCCTCATTGCCAAAGGAGCCTTACAGAAAGGAACAGGGCAGCCCAAAGGTCTGGCCCTTAGGGCTCCCTCAGCCTCCTTCCTGTGGCCTGCTTAGCCAGTGGCAAGGTAACTTCTCAGTCATTGAGCAAGGCTCATGCTTTGTCTGCTTGCATTTGAGAGGCGTCATTGTCTAGGGCCATAAATCAACCTCTTTAATTATCACCAGTGACACATTTGGCAAGAAGATGACTGGATCTGCTGAGAACAGGGTGAAGAGTCACCTGCAAAGATGCTTGAAACTGTGTCCTGCCCTGTGATTCAGAAATGCCTGCTCAACGGGCAGAGGTCACTCCCAGCAATGCTCTTGTGAGTGGCAGGAAACCGGGTGGAGTTATTGTCGCACACAAGACTCTGGCATGAATTACCAGAGCCTCAGATGCACCACCTACAAGAAGTGGGATACCAGCCTGAAGGACAAGTGAACGCTTTCTCTCTGTTCCCTCTTTCCTTCTTTCCTTCCCTTCCTTCCTTCCCTCCCAACTTTCTAACTTCTTCCTCCCTCCTTCTCCCTCTCTTCCCCTCCCTCTCCCTTCCTCTCTCCTCCTCCTCCTCCCTTCCCTCTTCCTTCCTTTAACAGAGAACTCTGCCCTAAACTTTTTGCATGGCTGACTCCTTCTCAATATTGAAAAGGCCCCAAGTGCGAGGCTGGTGAGACCGCTCAACCATGGCCCAGCTGTGGCCTCAGGAGCTTCCAGTCTGGCTGACAAGTCTGGCATTCTGGTGAGGGCCAGTACAGATCACAGATTCCTGATGCTTAGGTGTGGTCCTGGCTGAGACTAGGGAGTGAGTGGCATGGCCATGTCAAGGATGTCAATGTCTCAGCCCCACGGGAGTGGCAAAGCCTTCCCTGAGTGAGGCTCAAAGGATGGAAAAGCCTTCCTTGGGTCCAAGTGCAAATGTTGACAGTGTGCAGAAAATGTCCATCATATATCTCCCCCGTACGTTTATGGCCTGAAGACTGCTCCTACTGAGATTTAGTGAACCCGGCCTCCTTGTTCAACTGTATGCAATAACCCCGCCTCCCTGTTCAACTGTATGCAATAACCCTGCCTCCCTGCTCAAAGGTATAGAATAAACACCCTGAGGGTACTGTGACTTCTCTAATAGAGAGCCCAGTTCACCCAATCCCAGCTTTTCTATGCATGTGTCTGTGTGTCTGTCCTTTCCTTATTCCCTCTCTACCTGTCAGGTCAGTCCGTGAAGCCCCACTGAGTACAGCAGTTGAGCCTGAGAGAATGGCCCCTCTGGCCTTGCCCATCCTTGGAGACACTAAGCAACTTGCCCCAAGCCACCGCCCATGTTAGCCTTCTGGAAGTTTACATGGCACTTGCCTTTCTCACACCAGACCAGGAGCTGCATAGTAAGGATCAGCCACCTGCCCAAGTCGGCTGACACTGTCCAACACAACTAACCTGAATCTACCTGTATGGCCCTTCCAAGCCTCCCCACAGAAGCCACGGCAGAGGCTCCAGTCCCCGTGTCTTTCCACTCTGCCTCCTGATCCACCTGGCATTTCCCCAGTTGGCTCTGTGGCCTTGAGCATTATCGGCCTGGGTGGTGTGGCCTGCACCCTCCTCTTGGGCAATGAGAGTATCAGGCCTTCCAAATGGAAACTGTCTCAAGAGCTCTCCACCTCCTCAGATCTGACTCCTCATAGAGCCAGGCTTTTAAAGCAGGCTGTAAGGCGAAGCAGGCCCTGTATGCTGCAGGGATGGTGATGCTGAGGCTGAGGCTGATCGGGCAGGGAAGAGCATGGGACTCATACCCACGTGTTTGCAAGGGCTGGCATGAGCTCTGACAGCTGCTCAGGGGTCAGGGGTCTTATAAGCAAGGACATCGTCCCCACAGGGACTAGGAGCCAAAGTGGGGACAAGCTTCTGGTGACACCTGGATCCATGTGGCTGGAGAAGGCTAGGGACCAGGGTCCAACAGACCTTGCAGGATGGAGGCTTCCAAGTTGAAAACAGGTACCCAGAGAGATGGGGATGAGGCTTGTTGGATGCATGGCTCCTGGGTGTTTTTCCTTTAAGCCACAGTTCATTTAGCGGCTGTCCTGTGAGGGAGACACATGTGTCACCGGTCCCCAGTTTCCGCTCAGCTCCAGCCTGGTCCATTCCAGCCCTCAGTAGCTCTTGCCCTTTGCTGAGTCACTCAAACAGTTCCTTTTCTCCTGGGACCCTAACACTGAGTCACTCCTGCCCATCTTCCCCCCTCTCTTCTCTCCCAAGCCCCAGCACTTGGGGGTGCTGGACAGTGAATGGAATTGTGTAACAGATGGAACCACTGGTGTGGTTCAGGTCCCTTGGGAATCTGACCCAGTATGCATTTCCTGAAAGAAACTTTGACGGGGTGGGGAAGAGAAACAGGGCCATGTGGAAAGGGCAACGGGGTCCCCAGAGGCCTGAGAGAGTCTTCCATTGCCATTTTCTGATGGGCTAAGCTGGACCTCAAGGACCTGGAAGGAAGGCTGGGCGTGGAGAGGCTCAGCATCCAGAGAGGAACCTACATGGCTGAGCAACTGCCTTTGAAAGGCAGTTCAGGGAGGAAGTGACCTCACTGGACTTCCTGTGGCCTGGGTTGGCATGAAGGACACAGGATATTAGGAGAGGTTCTTTGGGGTGAGACACATTAACTGAACATTTGCTCAGTTTATTACTTCACTCACTCACTTGTTCATTTACTCGTTCGTACATTCAGTCATTCACCCACTCGCTCATTTATTCACTCATTCATGTCTCCATTCATCCATTTACTCATCAGTCAGTCAGTCAGTCAGTCAATACGCTTTGTAGGTCTGTCACATTCTGCAGCATCTGGGCTCTCTGCAACTGAGGAGTTTTGAATCAGTCAGCAGAGATGTCCTGTAAGTGAACAAGGGAATAAATGCAATGTCATTGAGTGACAATGTCAGGAAGTGGGAGCCGGCAGATAAGGAAGTCAGTCAGGCAAACAAAGCGCTCTGTGCTAGGGGTAGGCATGAGAGGGCATCCAGGGGAGCCTTTTCTGTGTGGTGACATGGACACCTAAATGGGCTGTGTGGCAGCCGGAGGGCACTCTGGCGGTGAAAATTGCAAAGGCCCTTTGGTAGGGGCAGAGCCGCAGGGAGGCTGTGGCTATAGTGCTGGAAATGGAGGGAGGGGCTAGGGATGAAGATGGAGACGGCCATGTGGGGTCTCCCAGGGCAGAGCGAAGCTCAGGATCTATGAGGGTCTATGTGGAGAGATCTGGAGATGGGGAGCATGAAGAAACGGAGATGGTTGATGGGTCAAACTGATACTTTAGTAGGATCCATTGTGCCCATCATGTGGAAGCTATGCCGAGTGCCCTGTGGGGTAAAGATGGCTAACTTTGGGGCAGAGGCCCTTCAGCACAGGTATGTGGCTCAGCAGGAGAGCTGGTTCTTGTCCACTTGTAGTGGCTACCTTTCTTTCTCTCTCTCTCTCTCTCTCTCTCTCTCTCTCTCTCTCTCTCATTCTGCCTGTGTGTGCACTTGCATGCATGTACATATACATGTGGAGATCAAGCTTAAATGTCAACCTCAGGAGCCAGAGACTTTTAGTTTTTTAGGCAGAGTCTCTCCCTGGCCCAGTAGGCTAAGCTAGCTGGCCAGTGAGCCCCCAAGAATCTGCCTGCCTCTACCTCCCCAGCACTGGGATTCCAAGCATGTGACACTGTATGTTTTACGTATAGGTTTTGGTATGGAACTCAGGTTCTGGGCTTGCAAGGCAAGAGCTTTATAGACTGAGCCATTTTCCAACTCCACACCAGTTTCCTTGGGTGTTTCCCACAGCAATCACAGGACAGAATGGGATTTATCTGGATTATCTCTCCGTTTCACAGGTGAATAAATCAAGATCTGGAGTCATCCACTTATTTGTTTAAAGTCACATGGCAGGTGCAGAGCAAGGGATCAGTGTCCAGCAGACTGGTAACTGGGCCAGAGGGCTTACCTACCATCACAGCACAAGTCGTAGCAGTGACAAATGTTCTTAGAGTGGCCAAAATATGGAGTCCTAAGAGGAAGTGTTCACTGCAGCAAGGGGCGCTGGGAAGGGCTGTGGGACCAAGCTAGGCATTGCCACTGATTGGCGCTGGAGAGCAGGTGCTCCCAGGGGACTAGCCTGAGGCACAGACTTGGGGGCAAGACTCCATCTGTAGGAGCAGCAGGGGGCAGGTGTGGGGTGTAGGCAAGGGCTGTTCTGAGATGGCCTTGACTATAGAGTAAACCTCAAAGCTTCAGCTCGCTGGTGCTGGAGCCACTGAAGGGGTCTGGTTAGAGGGACTGGGGAGGGAGAATGGGCAGTGGCAGGCAGGAGGGGTGGTAGAGCATGTGACTTAGGTGGGGACATGGCACAGGTGTGTGTTCCCCAGGGGAGTTAAGCCCCCCTATTCCCACAGTGGCAACTTCGGGGGCACTGGGCTGTCACATCCTCTGTCACATCACTTTACTCTGCTACGGCCTTCCTCCCTCCCTCCTTCCTTCTTTTTCTTTTTTAAAATACATTTTTAAAAATTTTATTTATTGATTTTATGTGTGTGGGTGCTTTGCCTGCATGTACGGCTGTGTACCACATACAGAGCCCGTGGAGGCTGGAAGTGGGTGTCAGGTCCCCGGAACTGAAGTCACAGGGCGTTGTTGAGTTGTCGTGCAAGTGCTGGGAACCAAACCCAGGTCCTCTGGAGAAGCAGCCAGTACTCTAAACCACTGAGCCGTCTCTCCAGCTCTAAAAACGTTTGTTTATGTTCCTAGTGTGTGTGCCCTCACATCTGAGTGTCATAGCTCACATATAGAGATCTGTTGGAGTCCATCTCTTCCCACACCATGTGAGTTCTGGGAATTGAATTCAGGTCATCAGGCTTGGCTGCAAGAGCCATCTTGCTGGCCCCTTCTTTTTTGTTTGTTTGTTTGTTTTTTAGACAGGGTCTCACTATGTAGGCTGCTCAGGAGCGAACCATTCTCTTGCCTCAGCAGTAGGATTGCAGGGTGTACCACTGGTCCTAGTGTTTCTCAGAACCTCCTCCTAAGCCCACTTCTCTTGTTTACTTGAGGTTGAAATTTTGGGAAGACAGAAGAAAACAACCCAGTTTTGGTGAGTCATTAATCGTTTGTGCCTCAGTTTCCCCCTCTGAGAATGGAAAAATTAACACTTTCTCCCTTCGTCTCAGGGTTTGTTCTGAGCAGGACGCGTCTGTCACTTGGTACATTCTTAGCAAGTGTCTGCCAAGATCACTTCAAAACAGATGAGGTAGATGAGGGTAGGAGGCTGGTGGTGGTGAGGAGGGAGCAGAGGACAGATGCCAGAGCTGGCAGGGGAGCTGGGACAGGGATACAGTCAGGCTCGGAGCCTGGAAAGAGCCTGGAGGGAGGGATGTCATTTACTGCAGTGTGCAAGAGCTGGGTTTGGCAAGAGAGAATCTAGTTTTAGAGTCAGGGTGTGTTTAGGTGCCAGACAGCCATGTGCAGAGCTGGGAAAAACAAACATGGCTGCTCCATGGCTTAGAAGCTACCTGGAGGGAGGTGGAGGTTGCTGGTGTTAGAAGTAGGGATGGAGGTGAAGGTGTGGGGGGGAGGGGCTGGTGAGGTGACTGCTCTAGGGAATCAGAGGAAAGAGAAAGAGAGGGCAACACAGTCTGTGAGATTGTACATCCGTGGAACTTTCTGAGTCTGGAGTCACGGCAGGCCTGTGTCTCCAGTCTGGGTCACCGGAAGCAGAGCCTGAGACAGGAATTCCGGTGCACATGATTGATTGAGAAGGGGGAGAGAAGTGAGGGAAGAGATGGGGCAGGACCAGTCCCAGTGGGAAGTGTGTGGTATGAAGTAAACTGCTCTTGTTCACTATTTACACTCCCTTGGCCGCCAGCTCCTGCTGGACAGAGGCTGAATCTCTAGACGAGACTCCTATGAGCCATCAGCAGTCAGGATTCACTGTATCAGAGGTGGGCTATGGCCCAATAACATCCACGGGGCCTGGTGTGAGCTGGGCAGAGCTGGTGTGAGCTGGGCAGAGCTAGTGTGAACTGGGCAGAGCTGGTGTGAACTGGGCAGAGCTAGTGTGAGCTGGGCAGAGCTGGTGTGAGCTGGGCAGAGCTAGTGTGAGCGGGGCAGAGCTAGTGTGAACTGGGCAGAGCTGGGGTGAGC